AGAGGAAGCAGAAGAAAAGAAATCTAAAGTGTCGTCGTACAAAGACTGGGAGGAAGGAAAGGAGGATTCTGGCTCTGATGAAGAGAATAGTGAAAAAATAGACAGAAATGGGAAAAAGGAGAGGTAAGAGCTAAGCTTTTGCTGCAGTTGTTTATTATGGAAATTAAGGTTTTTTCATATCTATGTCTATGAAGACTTGGGTGTGAATGAGTATGTTTGAGTACTATTGTATACACTATATATGCATACACTAAATATTCTACTTTCGTTCTGTAAATTATTTCAGAGTTTACCAACTATATTTAGAAATGCGTCCAATGGGTTCATGATTATAGTATTTTCACAAGTGGGTGATTTGCTTTTACATAAAAGGTTCCTGCAGTCTGTATGTTGCTAAATTATGCAACTTTTATTTCAGATTTTATCGTACATCTGGTGCAGAGACGCCATCAAATCCAGGTGGTGTCAGCGAAGAATTTAAAGAACGCAATCGACAAAGAGAACGGGATCGTCGAGAACATGGTGTTTATGCATCATCCAAAGATATAGAAAAGAAAAAGGATCGAGGAAGGGATCGTGAATCGAAGAGGGACCGAGGTGAAATATTCCACAAAATGTTCTGTGGATCATTAACTGCAGCATAGCATCAGACTTGTTTGTCATTTCCATTCACTATTAATCTGAATGACTTGGAAATGCTTCCAAGGATTTTACAGATATCAAGAATGTTAGTTGTAAAAGCACTTCTTTCCTCTTCAATCAAATGAACAGAGAGTAATGAAGTTGAATGAAACAATTTTATCTTTATTGACCCGTGCTAAATAATAATATTCTTGCATTTGATATAACCCCTTATTACATCTTTGAGACGTCTCAAAGCACTCCACAGACTGTTCAGAAAAGTGAATTGAAGTGTATATTTTAATAAGTTTACCTCTTTAGTAGTATAGGAAAAATAGGAACTTTACCACAAATTGGCCTTTACAGCTTTTGGTATGTCTGCACGTCTTTCTGCCTTAAAATCTCTAGAAAAAAATCCTTTGCTAATAAAACTGCTTTTCAATGTTTTAACTAGAAACTGTTGAGTTTTAAAGTGTGTTTGATACAAAAAGCAAGAACCAGATAGCTGGTAAACATTAAATGTACAGTCTTTTTAACAGTAGAAAAATTGCTTTGTTTTGTCTCTTAGATGATCGAGAGAGGAGTAGGTACAGCTCTTCCAGGAGCAAGGACAGGGACCGGTCAGAACGAAGTGAAAGAGGGCACAGAGAAAACTGGTCAGAACGGAGTAAAAGTAACAGAAAAGAAGATCCGGACACACCCAGGCACAGGCCAAAAGGTGAACATGAATTAGTTTTATTACATTAAAAAAATTATTTGAGTTTTTTGTTGTTTAAATTTAAATTTAATTTATGATCTACTGTGGTTGTTTAAAGGTGTTTAAATTTTTTTTGGTTTGATGTTTGTAATCTAACGAGGAATGAAGTTACAAAGTTATTTTCTATTTTTGTCCCGATACCATGGACTAATAGTTAGTATGCCTTTACCTTGATGAAGTGTAAATATTGCAGGGGCATCTTATTGGGGAGAAGAAACTGGCTTACTAGCTGGAGGTAAAGGAGAGATATTTTGAAGACTGGTGCTTAACTTGAATTCACCTTGTTTTATAGATGCTCTTACTCCTTCCCGATCTAGTTGGGATGATGATGAAAGTGGGATTGGAACTCAGTATTCTCGTCGATCTCAGTGGGAGTCTCCATCTCCTACTCCCTCGCACAAGGATTCAGATAAGAGTGAAAGGAGCTATCGCTCTTCAGGGCGTGACAGTGAGCGACGCGATAAAGACAGGTAAATGTAAAATAATGTAGTATTTAAGGTTCTGATGTAAAATGATTGCGTGAAGTAATAATAATAATAATAATCCTTGCATTTGATATAGCGCTTTTCACGTCGGGAGGACGTCCCAAAGCGCTTCACAGAACACACTGTAAAGTGAATTGACCGTATATTTGTGGGCGAATGCGGCAGCCAATTGCGCACAGCAATGTCCCACAAACAGTCGTAGATTAAAAATGACCAATTTTTTTTTTGGGGGGGGTTTTGGAGGGATTATTATTAGGCTCTGTGTGGAATAAGGAAACTCGCCCAAGGTTTCACCCTGATCTGCCTGGAATTGAACTCCGGTCTCTCGCTTGTAAAGCGAGTGCTCTAACCAGTGAGCTACAGGACTCCAAAGTAGAAGTTGTTCACTCATGTTATCTAACAGAATCTTGGCCAAATGGTCTGGTGTGCGGTGAATGTTGGCAGCCTGTGTAACAATCCTGTATTCAAGTTAGCATTTTGCACCCATAGTCAGTCATATGTGTTAGTGGAACGTTTCAAGAAGAATTGTGTAGTCATAGGCACACACAAAGGTATCGATTATTAATTGACTGTCGATTGTAGTTATTGTAGCACTCCTTAACGTTATAAATGTTGGACCAAACTATAATGTTAATGACAAGCAATTAAATATCTAGACATGGCAATGACCTCAATCAATAATTTCTGTGCAATTTTGTTTAGCAACTAACATACGTGCTACTGAGCTCTGAAATCTGAAAATGAATTTGCGAGTTGATTCGCATGAGGGAATTTTACCAGTATTGTGCATTACTGCGTCTGGCATTTTAAACCTGATTTTGTTTTCTTTAGGTCCAGAAGAAACCACTATGAAGAGGACACACCTCTGCCAACGCCATCATTCAAATATAATGAGTGGGCTGATGACCGAAGGCATTTGGGGGCAACTCCTCGACTTTCCAGAGGAAAAGGTACAGTATGGTTAGCGGGTTTCTGTTGAAGTATTCTTTCCATTTTAAAAATTGTTGATTAAAGATTAGTTAGTCCAGCAGGCATTTCACAGATTTTTTTTAAAAATGGTATTGAAAACTATTCAGTAGTCATTTTGCCGAATACTTAAAATATAGTGGATCATTGTATATTATACTGTAGTAATATTGCTCGTTCTGTCAGCCCTTGGAACTAAAATACTTGAATCTTTAACTTTTTCAGGAAGGAGAGAGGACAGTGAAGGTGGCATTTACTTTGAAAATGAGGATGAACAACAGCAGTGGGAAGATGATCAAAGGGTAAGAAGCTGCTCCAGATTCAGACAATATTGGAATTTGTTTTGAGAACTGGTAGGCTTTCTGCATTAGAAAAGTCATCTGAGGTCTAAGTTCCCACTAAATATTAAAATACATATTCCACATATTATCCTCTCAATATTCAAATATCATTTTTCAAGCTTTGTGTTAGCTTGGTTAATATGAGTGAATTCTATCCTGATGAATGTTTCTTATTCTTGCAGCAAGCAGACCGAGACTGGTACATGATGGATGAAGGACATGATGACTTCCATAATCCTCTGGCGTATACATCTGACGATTATGTGAAGAAACGTGAACAGCAGTTGCAAAAACAGACACAGAAAAGGATTTCTGCACAGAGGCGGCAAATTAATGAGGTTTTTTTGTGAACTTGTATGATTGTTTCTCTGTGAACACAGTTCTTCATATCAGAACATTTGCTTTTTTTCCTCTCCTCTCTCTTGTTATGCTTCTTCCTTTGTACTGCTACTTTGCTCTCAGTGGTATAGTGTAAAGTCCAATTTCTACCTCAGACCGTGAATTGAGCAGAAAACCCCGCAAATATCTGATTTTAGGTATTTTCAAGGTACTTCAAAAGCACACAAGTGGTCCAATGGATGCACAAGAATTTTCAGCGGATCAATTTTGAGGTTTTAAAGTGTCAGTCATGCCACCCTTTAATAACATTTACAAAAAAGAATTGGATGTTTTGCATCTTCACAGAACTTTTGAAAACTGAAACCAAACATGTTTAAGAACTCGAGCAGAAAGGATAAATCTACTTGGTGCTATGCTTTTTGAAGATACTTGGGAGAAAGGAATCTGATTTAATTTATTTATTTGTAGGACAATGAAAGGTGGGAGACGAACCGAATGTTGACGAGTGGTGTGGTCCAGCGTCTGGAGGTGGATGAAGACTTTGAGGAGGACAATGCAACACGAGTCCACCTCTTGGTTCACAACTTGGTCCCACCATTCTTGGATGGACGAATTGTCTTTACTAAACAGGTAGGAGTCCTTTTGAACTAGTCAATAACTGGATAGTTTCTAGTAGACAAATACACTCAGTCCTACAAATATTGTCCTCGTTTCTTTTTTTTTAAAAAAAGGTCAATTGTCCTATGTTCCGAGTCTGAAGAAAATATCAATATAAAGTTTAAGGGTCCTATTCTGTTTGTTTTTCCTTGTGGCTCTGTAACCCTTATCTAGCTCATGTAATCCTCTAGTGGCAGAAAACAAGTACTGAAGCAGTAGTGTATTAAAGGAAGCTGATCATTTTGATTTATTCAGTTATAATTTTGTGTTTTGGGGATAAATCACTGACTGTAATTGAAGTTTTAAAAGAATAAAAAGAGCCTTAAAGTTATGGTCAAATTCTTAACATTTTGGAATGGATCCTCCCTAACTGGTTATTCACTTTGTGTTTTGTTATTTTGTCCTGTGTTATAGCCAGAGCCAGTGATTCCAGTGAAGGACTCTACTTCTGACATGGCAATAATATCTCGAAAAGGAAGCCAGTTGGTGCGCAAGCATCGAGAACAGAAAGAGCGCAAAAAGGTAATTGCCAAAAANCAAATAATTAGTTGGAAGAGTTTGCAGCAAGTTGACAAGGCCTGGACTCTTGAACAGTATAAATTGGAAATGATCATACATTTGGATTTAATTTGCTTTCCAAATTTTTCACTACTAGTTCAATGATTGAATTTATTTTTTTTTAGAAAAAGAAAACTTAGTACACATTCCTAATTGTGTCACATTGCATTGGCAATATACCCGGTTGTAGCTATTTACCAGCACCGTCTCCTGGTGCAATTGATTCATGAATTGTTCCAAGGCGCGATAAACCTGCAGTCGGGAAAGAAAAATACAACCAAATAGTTTGTGATTTTAATTTTGAAAACACAATTAAATTGCGTCAATTAAGATAAACTCTTGCAAGGTTACATTCCTGACACTGCTTTACTATTTGTAATTTATTTTCATTCTTGGTCATATCAATTTCCTGTAGGGAGACGCTTTCTCTTTTGTAAAATGAAGTTGATTATACTGGGACTCACTTCACTGATCCAATTGATCATAGCTGTCAAATAATGGTCAGTTCTGGCCAAGTGTTGTCTGATATATTGCAATAGGGGGAAAGAGAGATAAATGACTATGTTTGAGCTGTCCAAAATCAATTTCAATTTGCCAGAAGACAATAATTTGATTCTAAGTAGGGGAGAGCTTCAGATGTCTATCAAAACTAATTACATAAATAAAGCAAAAAAAGCACATCATTTTGCTAGATAAGTCTAGTATCTTTATAAGTATGGTACTCTGGAGTATATACAATTCATGGTGTGGACACCTTATGGTTGTATAACCGGAAGCCTGATTTATACTTCTCACTTCTAATCACGTTGATTGCTTCATTCTGCGTGGGCAGAACTCTGGTATCAGTTGTTAAATGTTGTTAAAGAGTCAGAATTGATTATCATTCACTGTGTTTATACTGCAGCTGTACAAATCATTAAGCAATTGAAATCATCTTTATCTAGGCAATCTAGGTTGGGTAATTTGTGGTACCCCAATTTATGCTGTGCTTTTGTACTGCTAGTTGCTATAAAGACAGAATAAGAATACTTCAAATTTTATCTCATTAGATCCTGGGCAAAATGTTGGTTTTAATTCTCAGTAAGATTTTTTTTGTTATATTGTTGGGAAAGAGGGCGTGAAATCATATGTAGAGGAAGTTGTAATCGTAAACATTGAGTTGGGTTTACTAGACCTAGCCTCAAAGGAGATTTTAAATGTTAAATAATCCACACCACAAATGTTACAACCAGCTCAAATTGTTTCAAACTCCACATATAATTTGTCCTATTATATCCTATACTATTTGTCCAGTTTGGGACATGAATAACGCACAGTATTTTTGAAATATCATAAAATTGAAAATATTTTGGTAGTTTCATAATAGACTAAAATAACTGAAGAATTATATTACTTGTAATATATGCAGTAATGCATTTCCCTATCTCCTTTTTGAGTTGAATCTGATAGAATGGTTATGATAAATTGCAATGCTAACTTTTCCAGGCAAACCCAATTAAAAGAACAATAATTCTCAATGTATTACACTAATGTAAGTTTTCTAACAAGGTTTTCTTGTTTGCTCATACAGTAAGTATAGTTTTATAAGAAATTGTGTGCATTGTTTTTCAGTTGTTAGAAAACAAACAAATAATTTGAACGAAGATGTTTTATAACTAAATGTTTACAATTGTGTCGTTTTTAATTTAAAAAAAACACATTGTGTGATAGGCTCAACACAAACACTGGGAACTAGCAGGGACCAAGCTGGGAGACATTATGGGCATAAAGCAGACAGAGGAGAAGGATAATAATGTGGGAGAAGATGGGAAGGTGGATTACAGGTATGTATATTTTTAATGGTTTCTTAATATTTTCGGCACAATGGATTTAAAAAGTTTTGCCCACAAAAATACAGTCAGTCCAGTTTACAATGTGTTGTGTGAGGTGCTTTGAGATGTCTCAACAATGGGCTAAGGTGCTGTATGAAACGCAAGGATTATTATTCAGGGCATTGATTTGAAATGGCAACGTGCAGCAGCAGATAGGGGTGGGGTGGAGGCAGGAAGAAGGTGCAGATGCGAAGGGGGAGAATCGTCATTTTGTGGACAGTTATCTGGTTATTTCTTATGACTGGTGCAGGGTGGCAGCAGCAAAGGTTTGAGAGCAAGTCATCTTATATCATGTAACTAAATGAGATATTAATATAGGGTCTCTATTGCTTTTTAGTGGGAAATTCCACTTGGATTGCTTAAAAGTATGTAGTTTGTATACTCTGTTAGCAGTTGTGGGCAGCATCTGGAATTGCATGACTACCATAATAAAGAACATTATGCTCAGATAAATCATGACTAAATTTGTTCATAATTATAATACAGTAAACTCTATATAACTCGACCCTGACTTAACTTACCACTACCGCTTAAGTCATTGCGCTGTCAGTAACTCGGCTGCATTTATTTATATAATAATACATAACTGGCCACTCTGCATAACCCGTCACTGAGCTCTTTTTCCTTGGAGTGACGAATTATCAGGAGTTTATTCTAATAGTAAATAAGCCTAATTGATAGCAAAGATAGTGGAAAACATCAGATAGTGGAAAACATAGTGGAAAACATTTGTTTTGCAACAATTGTTGTGCATGGGCTATCGTTTTTAATATTGCTTTATAATTGATGTCTGATATCCTGTATTGTGAGATAGGTCTTGTTGGCTTTTTATTTTATGGGGATTGGGGTGAATTTGTTTTCTATTCAAAGTGAGGGATGTCTGTGAAGGAATTAAATAGTTTTCCTTGTCAGGTATAGCATGGCCCACTTCATGCTCAGTTGGAGTCAGCTTTTTTAGTATAGACTCTTGGCTGTTGGATTGTGTTGAGACTTAAAAATTGCAAAAGTTTTGACCTTTTCAGCCATCAAAGAGATGAGATTGTTATCAATCAATCTGGGTTCAATTTGAAAAGTTCCCATATGAAAAAGACCTTATAATAACCCATTGTGCCTACCAGTGTTCCTTATCTCCCCTGCCTTTGCCGTGATCCTGTCTATTATGATTGAGGACCATTAAAGTTGCTTTTTATTCTTGTGTCAAAAAGAGATAAAATCGGGTGGTGGTGGGAGGGTATCACCGAAACAAGTTGGGGGAGGGGGGGATGTTTTTACTGAATTGATCTACCACCAAGATATTTATGAAAATTGGTTAAAACGTTCAATGTTCTTACTTCTGATTTGTTAATATTACTACAATGCTATAGCACAATTACAATCATAACCTTTATTTCTGACTAAATGTGATCACGGCATGTTCAAAATATTATGCCAATATTCTAAATCTACACATTTCAATATCCTAAATCTGTAGGGTTGATCAAAAATTTGCTGATCACATGAAGGACAAGAACCAGGCAAGCAGTGAATTTGCAAAGAAGAAGTCAATTCTTCAACAGAGACAGTATCTGCCTATATTTGCTGTTCGTGAGCAGTTGCTCAATATTATACGGTAAGTATAGGTATAATGGTTTAAGGGGAGCAGAATTGATCTTTATGAGCAATAGAAGTTCAAAATAGTCTCTTTCTCTCACTAAGACACTTTTTTTTTAAATTGTAGCTTTATCCCCTACCTCTCATCTTTCTTTTCTCCCCCAATTTTAGGTCTCCTCCCCAATGCTACACAACATTTCCGGGCTTGAAGGGGCAGGCATGTGATCTGGTCCCAGGCCTCTGCTAATGATGTTCTGTAACTGGCCACTGGGAGGTATGTGAAAGTGGCCCAGGGAGACTTGCCTTTTAATTTTTGATGTCTTCCTGACTTCCTTCCTTGAAGTGAAGGGCCTTGAAGTGAGGGTCCCCTTGGCCTTCTGGCTGAGATTGACCTCTTGCCAAGTGGGGGAATGTGGCAGCAACTCCAGTGTCACTGTGTTGTGGTGCACTGCTGCCTTTCAGCTGTCTTTTTGCTGTGAATTGAAACCCTTTTCACAGTTCAGTAATGGGAGGGGATGGGGGGGGGAGAAGAGAAACGTGTTTAAATTTCCCTTTATACAGATTGATCTTTCAATATTGCAACAAGTTTGAATCTGAATAATGTAGATTATTTTCTCCTGGCCCCAACCCAATAAAAACAAACCACATTGCATACTTTTCCATTAAATATTCTGCTTATGCAATGATTGTAAGGTATATTTGCTTTTTAACATTTTTTTTAAAAAAAATATTTTTTTTTCTTGGAGAGTGAGGAAAATTCATGGATTTCAGAGCTTGTTAACTCAGTAGTTTTCTGCCTCGATGTATTTCCTGCTGAGTGTTTTCTAAAAATGAGACTATTTCGATTATTTTATTATTATTTAAAACAATATTAAGACTATTTTGCAAGTGGACTTGTGCACTATTTGTAATTTGTCTAGTATATTTTCCTGTACAGGCAAATGCTGTCCTAATTTAGAGTCTATAAACATTAGAATTTGACAAATTTGAACTGTTAAAAGAAATGATGTCCTTCCTAAATGCATTGTCTTTCCCTTTCTACTTTGTACAGTGATAACAATGTGGTGGTTGTAGTTGGAGAGACGGGGAGTGGAAAGACCACTCAGTTGACTCAGTATCTTAGTGAAGATGGCTATTCAAATTATGGTATGATCGGATGTACCCAGCCTAGGCGTGTGGCAGCAATGTCTGTGGCAAAGCGTGTCAGCGAAGAAATGAATGTGAACCTTGGAGAAGAGGTAAGGATATTGATTTGCTTAAGAATTTAATTTACTAAGCTCTATTAAAATGCAGTCTTAAATTAACTAATTACATGCATTACTGAATTGTACTTTTTAAAAATGGCCTTTATTTGTATGTCGACCACTGGTCCAACAAAGTTGTTTGCTCCTACAGCTCGGGGCAATGGTTCTGTTCGGCTTGCATTTTTACCAAAACTAGCAGGGGCTAAATGTTAAAAGACTATTGGTACATTTACATGTTTCAGGGCTCATGCAATAAAACAATGGGAATGCTTCTACGTTGTGTTTTCCATCATTATTCCTTTGACGCTGTTTTGCTTCATTTACCTTGTTAGAAATTAATTATTTTTGTGTCCATCGCTACCTTTTCTGTGGTCTTATGTTCTTCATCTTGTATATTCTGTGAAGCGCTTTGAGATGTCTCGAAGACGTGATAAGGCGCTATATCAAATGCAATCATTATTATTAGAATGGGAAGATGAATTTTGTTTAATTTTTCCAGGTGGGTTACGCAATTCGATTTGAAGACTGCACATCTGAACAAACAGTCATTAAGTATATGACTGATGGTATTCTTCTTCGGGAATCCTTGAGAGAAGCAGACTTAGATCATTACAGTGCTGTAATCATGGATGAAGCTCATGAGCGATCCCTGAACACTGATGTGCTGTTCGGCCTGCTGAGAGAGGTGGGTGTATATACTGTACAAAGCAGCGACTTCAAATATTTAGACTCCCGCTCTTTGTTTTCACCCTGTTTTCTTTGTTCTCAACTTTCATATCTTTTTCATACTTCTACACCTGCCTCGCTAAAAGGATACGTGTGTGATCTGTGCTCGGGCGCTCTGCCGGTACATCTGAACAATAGGGAGAAGGAAAGTGAGGTGTGAGAATGGTATGAGATGTCCCTTTAATATGGAAATCTGGCTAACTGGGAGTGTGCAGGATGTGTAACGCCAGTGCAGTTTATTAAAAGTTGTGGTAACTCTACACCATTGGAATGTTTTGCTTCCATAAAGATGTTACCTTTTCCAATTGTTAATTTATTAAAGCTAAATAAATAACTGCTGTGACTGAAATAATATTTGAAATGATGGGTCATTTACTCTTTGTGTGTGTGTGTGTTCATTTTGTAGGTTGTAGCTCGTCGTGCTGATCTGAAGCTAATAGTTACATCAGCTACCATGGATGCAGACAAATTCGCAGCATTTTTTGGGAATGTTCCTGTTTTCTATATTCCAGGACGAACATTTCCTGTCGATATTTTCTTCAGTAAGGTATTGTCAACTCAGATTACTTTTTTTGCATTAATAAATGTGTGAGTATGTAGAAGCCAGGAATTCTGCAATAAGTAAGTGAAAATAATAGGATATAAAATATAAACAAGCTGCTTATTATACGCTTCCCATTTTAGTGTCGTCACAGTTCTAGTTTTTAAATCGTATTAAAGAAAAAGTTTTGCACATTGTTAAATAACAACTAATGTCAGAGAAGCTTTTAAATTCCATGTAACGGCCATCTGAACAGAAAGGATGCTACTTGAATTTTTTTTTTGTTTTGTTTTAAACATGTTACTGAAAAACGGAGCATTTGCGCTCAAAATTGCTTTGTTAGATTGCTGTTTCGTGAATTGCAATCAGAAAGATGACGGTTATTTAAAGTCAGGAGTCTAAATCATGTGGCAGATAGAGCTTCAGATATTGAGTGACGTAAATGCAGTTCATAAAAACTGCATGAAATTAAGCTGTGTTGTCAGACGATTAACTCAACTCAGCTAGATAAAGGAAGGGTCGGGTAGATATTTATAGAAAGGCTGATGGTAAAATTAGTTTAGCTAGTTTTATCCTCTCTAAAAAACCAGCTTGTACAGGTTATTTTCCTGCTTTCAACTTTTGACAATTTCTATAATCGGGCATTTATTCGTTATTTATTGAATGGTTTGTTGCGATATGTTTGCTTTTCCAGACACCCACAGAGGATTATGTAGAAGGAGCAGTTAAACAAGCTCTTCAGATTCACTTGTCAACTATTCCGGGTGACATGTTGATATTTATGCCAGGCCAGGAAGACATTGAGGTGAGTGAACAATTGATAAGGTTTAGAAAATTGTAAAATCGTTTGATGTTTACTCACTTACTCCATTCCATTTAAAAACTCGGAGGATGAGGTTCACAGACACTGGTTTAATCACCATAAGTGCCTCCCAGGATCAATAGGAAGACTTGACTGGAAGGGTTGTCTGGGGAGAGCAAGACTTGCTGCTTGGCAAATTGACTATTGGCTTGCATTTATGGGTCATTTATTAATCAACTGATGAATTAATTTTTTTCGTAGGAAACCAAATAATGAAAATGTGCCTTTTTTATATTGAGAAATGCAAATCATTTTTAGGTTTACATAGGTTCGTTTTAAAATTAAAAATTCCTTTTGACATGAATGTTACTACACAATTTTCAGTGGAACATTGACAACTGCTAATGCTCGCTACCAATCTCTGTTTACATTTGAATACAAAATCTCTAACAAAAGAACTGGTTTGTTGGTTTTCAATCATTTTTCTAAATTAATAATCCTAATCCTTGCATTTGATATGGCGCTTTTCACGTCGGGAGGACGTCCCAAAGCGCTTCACAGAACACACTGTAAAGTGAATTGATTGTATATTTGTGGGCGAACGCGGCAGTCAATTGCGCACAGCAATGTCCCACAAACAGTCGTAGATTGAAAATGACCAATTTAATTATTGTTTTGGTTTTTTTTTTTGGAGGGATTATTATTAGGCGTGTGGAGTAAGGAAACTTGCCCAAGGTTTCGCCCTCTGCCTGGAATTGAACTCAGGTCTCTCACTTGCAAAGCGAGTGCTCTTAACCACTGAGCTACAGGACTCCACTTGTACAGGACTACAATTCTTATGTTTCTTCTTTCACCCCTGTCTCCTTCGAATTTAGCTTTTTTTTATTGTTGGTCAGCCCTTTCAGTAGGTTGAAAAGCCTATTACACTTGTAGTTATTGGATATGAGGATTCCTCCACATCAAACTCCAAAATCTTATCACTGCACAAGTCTTCTGTAAAAGTTCACTTTTGCTACTTTTGTCTCTAGGAACTGCAAACAAGTTCAGCATTCCTGTTCCATGCATTGATTTTATAGGAGGGAATCATCAATTAGAAAGATGGAAAGAAGGCTTTATTTCCCTAGATGTGTGGGTGGGGAGGGGGAGTCATAACATCAGCATTTTGTTTGCTTCTCCAGGAATTGAACTAGCAACTACTTAAAATGTAATGTGAGTCACGATTAATATTAAGATGATGTCCATGGGATTGAAAGATGTTTTTTTTTCCCCCCTTCTGCATTTAGGTGTCTTGCGATCAGATAGTTGAACGGCTAGAAGAGCTGGAAAATGCTCCTCAGCTTGCTGTGCTGCCAATATATTCTCAGTTGCCCTCTGATCTTCAAGCCAAGATCTTTCAAAAGGTACAACTAAGGTGTTTCAATACAAATCCTATTTGTTTATCCTGGTTGTTGGAGTAATGTCACAGCCTCGAAGAACCTAACCTCCGCCCCCAAAAATGGCAGTTTTCAAAAGCTGAACTTCCATGTTTGCATTGATTCCTTTTGTGTTGTGCTTCTCTTTGTATTCTAGGCCCCAGATGGAGTCAGAAAGTGTATCGTGGCTACAAATATTGCAGAGACATCATTAACAGTGGATGGAATCATGTTTGTTGTTGACGCAGGATATTGCAAACTAAAGGTAAGGCTATAGTAATAGAATCTTGAATTGTAAAACTCCTTCCTGCAAGATAAATTTCTTACTTTTTAAGTAAATGTGGTTTACAAATAATAATAGGGTATTGTAACATGTAGTACAGATGGTTTTAAACAAAGCATCATCAGATAGTGTATTTTAAGTAGCAGCAGAGGGTAAGAGCCACAAACGAGAACAACAGTATTACTTTTTTTGGGTTAAGTATACAATTCGTGTTTGCTTGTCAGTATTAAAACTTTTGAAACCATACATTTGATGTGTTTATTCACCAGGTTTTTAACCCAAGGATGGGTATGGATGCTCTTCAGATTTACCCTATTAGTCAGGCTAATGCTAATCAGCGTGCTGGTCGAGCTGGGCGAACAGGTCCAGGACAGTGTTTCAGGTAAACCAAGATAAATTACTGCAGTTACAGCTGGTTCTCTTAATGAACCTGTTATATTACTTGACTATTTATTTGGCTGGCTTTGAAAGTGAGGACAAGGAACTTAAACTCAATTTTCTGGGGGATTGAGAGCCAGTGAAGCTGGGCGAGGATGGGGGTAATCAAGAGCTCACGGAGCTTGGTACGGGATAGGACACAAGCCGCAGAGTTCTGAATAATCTGTAGCCTTTGGAGGGAAGAGTTGGGAAGGGAGTCAGAATAGTTATGCCTGGATGTGATGAAAGCACGGATCATGGGAGAGTTAGTGGCTGAGGCAGGCAATGTTGCATGGGTGGAGGATTTGGGTTTAAAGGACATTTGAGGGTCAAGTAGATGCCAGTTTATTAGAATTTAAAAAGAAGTTCTTATCTATTAAGGTGCAGAACGATTTCATGATTGGAGTCTGGACAGTAATCATCGCACAAATAAAAGCAATCTCTTTAAATTTGATTCAAACTTTCAATATTAATGTCTCAAGCTAAATAGACCTGATTTAGCACAATTTTTGCTGGGGCTATTTTTCTGTGAGTGGTATTGAATCTGACTGAATGTCATGTGGCGATCAAGAAAGAAAGGTGATGTATTAAATGTTCTTCCATCGGAATGAATACAGAGATGCACGTTTATATCCTTAACATGATAGATTTATTTGCTTACTGAACAGGTTGTATACGCAAAGTGCATACAAAAATGAGATGCTGACTACCACTGTTCCTGAGATTCAGAGGACAAACCTGGCTAATGTGGTGCTGCTTTTGAAATCCCTTGGTGTTCAGGACTTGCTTCAGTTCCATTTCATGGATCCACCCCCTGAAGATAACATGTTAAATTCTATGTACCAGCTTTGGATACTTGGCGCCCTTGACAACACAGGTAATTAGAGGTATCCGAAGATGCAATATACCTTCAGCTTATTTTTCCAATCTATATATATAATACTTTTTTCTTGGATGTTGATCTTACAATAAATTTGTTTTGAAGTCGTATGATTAAATTTAATCTACAGTTTTTATTCATCTGACATCTTTCACTGAGCTTCTTCCATTTGATGTGGTTCTTGTAGGTAGTTTGACTCCAACTGGGAGGATGATGGTGGAGTTTCCACTGGATCCTGCTCTCTCAAAGATGCTGATTGTGTCGTGTGACATGAGCTGCAGTTCTGATGTTCTCATCATTGTCTCCATGCTTTCAGTACCTGCCATCTTCTATCGACCAAAGGCATGTGACTCATTTTTATTATAAAGCTAGTGAATTGCAGGGTTTCCGCATCTCCAAAATTTTGTTCCTTGTAGAAAGTCTGCTCCCAATTGAATGTGAAATTCAAGCAAGCAACATTGAGCAGGAATCTTAGTTTTTTTTTCGTTCTAGATGAAATTGTCTTTTGAAGTTGTGCAAAATACTGCTAGCATCTTAACCACCCTTTACCAACAACCTTATTCAATGTCATGTGCGTTTACATTGCAGGGTCGAGAGGAAGAGAGTGACCAAATGAGAGAGAAATTTTCTGTGCCCGAAAGTGACCATTTGACTTACCTTAATGTTTACCTTCAATGGAAAAATAATAACTATTCCACCATCTGGTGTAATGAACACTTTATTCATGCCAAAGCAATGAGAAAGGTAAAGTAACATTGCACGCTCTTAAAAGTTTTCAGTGTTGCACATGTTGATAGTTGTTGTCGTCTAAGAGTAAGTTCAAGGTAAATTCAGTCCATAATTAACCAGAATTGGGCTGTTACATTTGTCTATTACAAATGATGCTGATGTGTAGGACTTTGTGTCAGTTTGCTGCGTGAGGGAAACATTTGAGGAAAATAGTCAATTGCATGAAATTTTACTATTTTGAAGATATAACTCTTGGTACTATTGGAACTTCATATCAATGATGTTGAGAGTGGAAACAAATTTCGTAACTTGTTTTGCTTTGTCACTGAAGGTCCGGGAAGTTCGATCCCAGTTAAAGGACATAATGGTACAACAACGTATGAATATTGTATCGTGTGGCACTGATTGGGACGTCATCAGAAAATGCATTTGTGCAGCATACTTTCATCAGGCTGCAAAACTGAAGGTAAGGAAACAATTTGAGACGGTGGTTCAGGAAAACTCCAATATGCCTGTAATCTCAGTCATTTTTCCACAAGCTTTTAGCTAATACATTGATGCTGGCGAAAAACCCAACAACAGGACCAAAATTGCTTCAAAACAACAAAAATCTTAATTACTCAGTAGAACAGAAATTTATATTAGTTGTAGCACCAGAATCCAAAATTGCAAAGTTTGAAAATGCCTTCTATAATAACCCCAGAAATGTCTTTTACTGTCAAATGTGATTATAAACGGCACCAGTTGTAGTCATTCAGTATTGCCTCAGATTGAGTGTTCACACAGACTATCAATCTTTGCTGCTAGAATAAGCTTACTGGATCTGCATCATTTGCCTTGGACTGTAAACCCACATTAAAAACAACTTGACAGAGTCAAATAGGATGGGTTTGGTACTCTCATATCTTGGGTAAGTCCACTCCTTGTCAAGTGACAGAGAAATTGTGGGTATGTTGATGCTTGTTGTTCTGCCCAGAATACAATTACTTAGTGTGTTGGCAAAGGCCATCCACCACCTGTAGCCAAGGGGGCCGGCTAGTATCCTGCTCCAAATCTCTGCCCACCTGTGCTGCACAGGCTTCTAGGAAGCTAATGACAACTGCCACGGGGCTCTTTTTTTTAGTCCTTCCCACAGCAGTAAAGCTAAAATGGGAAAATTTGGGCTGCAGGGAATGAATGTAGTCCATGAGGTTGAGAACCAGTGCATCAACATGCTGCACACTTGCTCAGCATCCCATCTAACGATGACGTTAGAAAAAAACTTAAATTCAAGGAAGCGGGAAAAAGAGAAATCCATGGACACCAATTGGAGGTATAGGTATAAATAGAAATATTTTGAGAGAAATTCCACCTGGGTCTAGATTTACTCCTGAGAATGCAACCACTTCTGTCTTGCAAATGTTGACTGGGTTTAGGAAATCTGAAGGCAAAGAGCATCTCCTCTTTGCTGGTAAAGCTAATTACTTAGTGGAAGATATGCACATGCACAATACAACAGTCACAAACTCTGGCTGGTGCTAACAAGCTTTCTATTACATTGCTGTTTCTTTGCACTACATCTGTAGTTCATCCCTTTCAGTTTTTCCAAAGATGCCTATGGCATGTGTTACAGCTTCCATGCTGTTTCAAACTGCCCTGTTTTGTTGCTTTGTGAGATATCCTAGTTCACACATGTTATATCTTGTAATGGAAGTTCTAGTTTTTGGAAGTTCTCTCTCCTACAGCTCAGCACCTTGGCTCCTCTTGATACAGTTTAATAATCTTTGTGATTGGTGCCTTGGCTCATGAGTGAAACCTGATGTGGATGTCAGGATTCAAACCTGAGTTGCTGGTTTGCATTAAAACGTTAGACAGCTGCACTTTTTTAAAAACATTACAACATCAGCAAAATAAGCGGGAATAGAAATGATGATAAATGGGTTCCACTATATTTTGATTTTCACAGATAAGATCTTAAGTCTTTCAAGATTGAATTTCCCATAACTGGAGCTTCCACTACAAGATTGAACACTTGCAATAACATTAGTGGAATTTTAGTGCTGACAGATAGTCGAAGCTTTGTTCTTCACTGACCCCCCAAGTCGTTGGAATGTATTTCCTCACATTTTATTGAGTTTATTATGCTGTCAGCCTTGCTGTTGACAATCCACCAACACGTTGGTGGTACAACTGATAATTTCTTTATTGATTATTTTCTGTTGTAGCGCTAAGAAGCTGCACAACATGTTGCAGCAGGCAGCATTCTACTTCCACTAATGATAGCAGAGGTCTGCTTTATTATATACCTGCCTAAGGACAGGACTCAATGTTGCATTTTTGCCAACAAGCAAATTATTCTTCACACAGAAATTCTAAAGACAAAAACATTGTTTTCTTTTACCTCCGTTAAAGAAAGTATCTTTGTCACCCTTCTTTTAAATCTTGTTTCCTTTTTCAAATACATTTTTTCCAATAAATTACTTCAGGTTGAAGATTTATCCCCAGAATAGTATTGATTTACTTTTAAGATTTTTTTAAGATTTAAGTTTGAGCTCTTTTCTGTGATGCAAAATACAGCTGTAGGTCACTTTGTGTTGAAGTGATGTTTGCAAATTGTAGCCAATGTTTTAAAATAAGCCACACATAAGGGCAGCAGAGGGATTCACTTGGCTTTTTAATTGTATAGCGTAATGAAGTTGGTTGTACAATAAGAACATTTCTGTACATCAATGTTCACATATATCCTCAAAACGTAATTCTACAACAAGAGGAACATAGTCAGCTTGACTATCTTAATTAAATTCAGAAGTGAGTGTTAACAAGATGCAGACGTACTTTTGACTCTTTCCATGGTTTTTTATATTCTGACTTTGCTTGCTAGTTTCTTTTGCTTCGTGAGTTAATTTTTACTGTGTTTTTATCTTGCAGGGTATAGGAGAGTATGTGAATGTGAGAACAGGTATGCCCTGCCACTTGCATCCCACCAGCTCACTCTTTGGCATGGGCTACACACCGGATTACATTGTCTACCATGAACTAGTTATGACGTCAAAGGTAAGCTCTTCTTAACCTTTGTGAATCTCCTGCAGTGCAGGCTATGACTTTTCACCCCGGTTGGCTAAAGTTTTAGTAGAGAAGCTTCTGGTTGAAAAGATGATCTTTGACCTTAACAGGATGTAATTTTAAAAACAATTATTTACCAGGAAACTATTGTCTGTTACAACATTTCTCTATTTTTCTATCTACCGTGTTTGAGAGCAATGGGTAAGCTTCAACTACGATTGTCAGTCATTGAACTTTCCAAGTTAGTTTCTATGGCATCATTCCACATGTTTCTATACTGTAGAGCTTTGTTCTGAGTGCTATGCTCATTTGACTTGACCTGTAACATGATGGATATAATTGTTTGATTGTTATTTCCGTTAACAATGGATGTTTATTCTTGGTTTGCTAGGAGTACATGCAGTGTGTCACTGCAGTAGACGGGGAGTGGCTTGCTGAACTGGGACCAATGTTTTACAGTGTCAAGCAGGCTGGCAAAACCAGGCAGGTAAGCAAGGCAACCACAGTCAATTTAACAACTTGAATTTTATAGCCCCCTTCATGCCGGACGGTGTCTCAGAGTGCTTTAATGTGAGGATATACAAAGTATTCAGTTATTTATATTGGAAAGGGTCTATGTCAGGATTAACAATGTACCCGGATTATATAGATTCTGATTGTTTGTGTCGACCCTACGGAGCTATTGTGTGATGGTAAATATTACAAGGAAGATATCTTTAAACTTAATGGTATCATTGTGTTTTGTACATAAACAGATGCCAATAAAAAAACAGATGTTTCTCTCTAATATTTAATATCTATGATTACATGCAATTCCATCAATCAAATTTCTTCTGTCCATTAAGATTTAATCAAACTTGATATTAAGGATATGCTTTTCTTACATTGTTGCAAAATTAGCTTTATTTTAAGGCAAATTTGAGGTATTACTTCTTGGCTTTGCACAAAGCTGGAAATAAGTGGGTGTTTGCTATTGCAGCATTTACCAATTGCTGGAATCTTCTTTTTTAAATGGATGGATTTATAAAAAAAATTGTATGAGACGTGTAAATGAAGTATTCAAATAACGAAGAGACAGTTTTAAAACTAACTTCACTTTCAACATCTCCAGATAAAGCTTCTACAGGATTGAAAAATGTGATCAAATTAAAATGGGGAAATAAAGAGGACTGTACTGATTCAAATATTCCTAAAATGAATGTTTATAAATTCCAGTCTTGTGGTGCATAAGTCGTACTGTACTTATTGAAATGGAAAACACTGAACATTTATTCCCCAGAGACTAATAATAGTCATCGCATTGTCAGGGATTGAATTTAAATTTGCCTTTGAATTTTTAAAGCATTTAATACTTTTCTTCAACAGGAGAATCGTCGCCGTGCCAAAGAAGAATTGTCTGCCATGGAGGAGGAAATGGCCTTGGCACAGGAACAGCTTCTGGCACGAAAGGAAGAACAGGAGAAGAAGAGCACTCTTAACACTGTGAGGTATGGACTATTTCACAATAATCCTATAATATTCTCTGCAATGCTACATTGCTTTGTAGGTTTCAAAATGCTGAACAAGACTGTAAGCTCAAAAGTTTTTTATATTTATATATATATAAAAATATATAGGAAATTATCCACATTGCAGATGAGTCAATGCATCTTACATAAAGTGCACATTGTTGTTCACTTGTGTCATTTTATTAAGCTGTGATCTGCTTGCTCAAGTGAGTTTTGTATTTGAAATTAAACTTTTGTCTGGTCAAAGTGACTTGGGGGTTTCGGTGTAAAAATCTGTGCCTTTACACTGGTGTCATATCTAAAAATGCTTGAGAAAAATGGTGAGGTTTGAATCTTATGTATCCGCAGGCATCAAAATTTAGACACATCTGAGACTACCAACGATCAGAATCCCAAAGTTATTTTAAAACTATCATGGTGTAATTTTTTTTTAAGAAAATTTAAGATTTGGGATGAATTCTTTGGCTCCACAGCTAATAAATTGCAAAAATTAACTGTTCGAGTCCTCGTCCCAGTCAGTTTGCTTTCTCATCCACAGAGGGCGCCACAGTTTCATTACTGCACACGCACAGTATTTGGAGATTTCCAAGTACTTTCAGCTATACTATTTATTTCTAAATGTAAGATCTGTAAGAAATAAAAGATTTGGACTGTAGCTGAGATTAATAAATAAATTAATTGATTAGTTAATTAAACCAAGCTCGGGAGATGCCTTAAATTAATTGACAGGAAATTTTACAGATCCTTTTTCTCTCATGCCGTAGTTTCTTTTTTTTAAAAAAAAAGATACTGTTTGACCTAGGCTTATGTGACACTGCATATCTGAAAGTTTTATCTTGGTTGTGGGAATGAAATGTTCCCTGACAGTGCCACTGATGTTGGGCGCTATAGCTTGCCTCCTCATCTTTCAGCTGAAAAAAAATTGATGGCAGAAGATTATTGTTTTAAAAATTGCCTTCTGTCTTCTTCCCATCTTCATGTTTTTGTTTGTTGTGCAATCTTTTTGACCCAACCACTAATGAAGTTTGGGAAGTGATCCAAAGTGACTAATACTCGCCCCTTCCCCCTGGTCATTGCTGCCTCTCAGACATGTTGAACACCAGGAATAATCTTGATTGCTGTGGCACAGAATATTGCAACATCAGTGTACAGCATCCTTTAGGAGGGAGGAAAGCAACATTTTAAAGGAAGAAAATCCTTCAGGAGAGCTTAAATCAGCTCTCTCTGTGCTTTTGAGAACACTTTACATGTATATGGCATTTGAAAGGCGTCCTAATAAATAGTTGCACAAAATAATGTTAAAACATTTAAGGGATGTAGCATTTTTCCTTTCTCTTCCCCTCCTCCCCCACCCCCGTGAATTAATACGGTGAATATTTCATTGTTGATAGTGAGGTGCCGATTTTCTTTCATGAACGCTGGCTGTGCATGTGAGTTATGACAATTTTTCACATGAGTGAAAGAATGTCTGGAACTCGCTGTCACCAGTGAGGTATTCTGTTTATTTTGTGGGAGTAAATGATTCCTTGAATCTCAGTCCTGCCCTTAAATAATTCTCGTGTGCTGTGCACGGCTTGCCAGCCGTTAAATGATACTTCACACAAGTAAATTGTGTTTTTGTTTTATTTTTCATAGGTATGAATTATCACTTTAGTTGGCAATGCAAATATCCATCACTCTTGTAGAATTAGAACATTCTTTTAGTTTAGTTACAACATTATGTGTGGGTGGTTTGTCATTATTCTGAAATGGCAAAAAGAAACAGTTTTGCACACAAAATAATGGAAACGCAATTTTTTTAAAAAGAGAATGCTGCTTGTATTGAATCCTAACAGGGTTCAAGCACTCGCCTCATGATGCAAAACTTGGCTTTAACATAGTTTAAGAATAGTTGGATAGATAGAAGTGAAGCTTTTATATGGTTTTGAGTTCACTACTAATGGAAATGTGAGTTCAGCACTAGGTAGGTTTCACAACATAACATTTATAGGAGTGGCTTAAGATGCCTTGTTTGTGACTGGTATTGGAAGTTCTATAAGGATCTTCTCGGGAAAGGAGATGGAGGAAGAATGTGGTATTGATGTAAGTAACAGAAATGCCAAATACATTTGTCCCAACCAGGTTGTAATAGAATGAATAAGTTATTTAATGGGCAATAGCATATCTTTGGCCATTGCTATTGGAAGGTAATCATCTAATACAGGCCGAATGAACTGCTATTGATCTGAGTTCATATAACGGTGAAAATAACTGCTGCTATTTGAAAATCGACCCATCTAGCCAGTAATTGAGTGTTTATTTTTTTTGTCCTTATTCTTGTGTTTTTCTCTCCTTACTTCAAAGAATATTCACTCTTGCTCTCTTAATATATAATATATTAATTGTCTGTGTGTGTGGATATATATATATATAAATATATATCATTCCCCATTAGGAGAGAAGGCAGATAACCTAATACCATTTATTAGCCATTGTTTCTCTTCATCCGACTACTGGGAAGTCATGCAAATAGATGAGGTGACATTTTTTTCTTCATCCCTTCTTGTGCCTGTTCTCCAGTACCTTTAGACCACCAGTGAACTTCAACATTGTCTGCCTTAAAACTATTTTGTAATTCCACTTATGAATTGGGATCTTGCAGTTCATTTCTGTGGCTTTTGAACTATGGGCCTATACGTAGCTCATATTTCTATATTCCTGTTTGAAATCAAATTTTCCTGCATGGTTATAGAATAAATGAATTTTATAATGAATATTGAATAGAGACTGACGTCATTCTGTCCTTAACCTCTCCTTGTGCTGGTAGAAAAGGTGACGAGAATTTAGTATTTTAACACCACTGTTTTATTAAAGCAAAAATGAATCCCCTTTAATGTGAATATGACCTGTGATCATTTATAAATTAAATTAAATCAATCAAATTTATTTGCATATCTGCAATTTATCTGATAAATTAATCAAATTTATCTGCATTTTAGAACTGTATCTTTGTGAGCCAAAATATTTCAGACGTTTGAGTAATGACACAAAATGTTGATTGGAATTTCTGCATTTAGAATAAAATAATTAAAATCTGGTGCCTTCCGCTGTTTGCTAGTGATCCCCCATTCAAATGCAAATAATGTAATTGTCAGGTGAGCAGATTTCATTTTTTTCTCCCTATTTAATATGACAGTATCCTGATTAATTTAAATTGTGTAGTCTGTAATGTGAACCTAACAGTGAAACTAATTATTTAATCATTGCTGAGCTTCAGCTTTCCAAACTGGGTCAACATTTACATTTTTAAAGGCAGTTTGAAAATGTTTTAAACAATTCACCAAACACACAGGATAATTGCAATGCTATTTTGTGTTTTAAGTTTTTTTAATTTATATATATATATATGTATATAAAAATTGTATGTAGGGAGAGAGACAGCTTTAGATTGAATTCATCTTCACAATAGAGAAAGGGTTTTATCATCACTGCTGAAGGCAGCGGTGTAAATGTGTTTTTCAAAGGACCGGTCCACCATTTTATTCTGCCCGTGGTTGAGCTAAACGCACAGTGGTTTCATAATTGCTGGCCTATGTGCATGACCTGTGGTCATTGGGAAAGGATCAGTGATCACAAATGAACGTTCTAAATGCAGCTTTCAATGCACTGCAGGTGGGCAAGTTGGTGGGTGTGTAATAATAACATAGTAATAATCCTTGTATTTGGTATACTGCTTTATTATGTCGGAAGGACTTCTCAACTCTTCACAGTATTTACTGTGAAATGCAGTGACTTGTCTATTTGTAGGCAAACGTGGCAGCACAATTGTGCACACCAATGGGATTGTTGAACAGGACTCCGGGAGAAACGTGGGACTTGAACCCAAAAGGTTGTGACTCCGGGGTGCATCTGCTACCACTGAGCGAAGCTGACACACTAGTGACACACGTGTAGTTCTTGTAGGTGTTGCTGATCATGTTGTGGAATTCATCCCACCATGCCCTGTGTATTAACACATCACAAATGCAGCATTGCATGTTGGTGCAGAGTTTTTTAAGTAAATCCACTTAAAGCAATTTTTAGCAGCAGCTTTGTCATCCTTTCAAATTCATTTCTTTGGCAGGTAGGCACTCTACTGTTGAATATTTTCAATTAATAAAACGCACAAAAGATTCTCTTTACAGTTGCAAATGGAAGGTGAGATAGCACTTGGTTTCCTTTTCCCAATTTGGTTCTTATTTAAACCTTTAACAAGGTGGTAATATTAAGACGCTTCACATTTCCGTTACTACGTCGCACTGGTGATAAATGGCTCATCTGTTTGCCACAAGTTCCTTCCCGTTCTCGGATAGGCAGAATACTTAAGGAAAATAGCATTGTCCCCTCGCTCTCTGTGTCCATTCAATGAGGAATCTGCATTTATTTTAAGGCTGGAAGATTACTTCGTGATTTAGCAGCTATACAGGGACAGTGAGAATTGAGGAGAATAAAAAAAATAGTTTTTATTAATGCATTGAAGTTCTAAACCAGACCTTTTTGTCCTCTTCTGTTTCTAAACATCCCCGATATGAACCTTTATAGAAGATTGGATACAGAATCAAATGAAACTTTTAATTGATTATGGTTGCAGAGTTCATCTTAGCGCTATGGAATTGATCAATTGAATGTAAATATTTTACTTTTAATCATCTTCATATAGTTACTCCAATGGTTTCTTTTAAACAATTGCAATCATGCTTCGCCCTTGAGATGGGGAGCTGTTGTTAATTTATTGACCTGAAAAAGCATAATGCTTTTGAGTACATTTTTTGTGTAATATTGTGGGCTGTCTTCAGTTATCGGGTAGCCATCAGTAGTAGCTGTACCTAATATAATTCTGAAAGAGAGGCAACCTTTCAGATTTACAAAATTGAATAGAAACAATGACTATCTAACACACAGATTGCTGGGGGATTTGTCTGGCTTCTTCCAAGAGAAGACAATTGTTCCAGTGACTTTCATCTTGGTTCTGACAGATTCTTTAATGCAGTCCTCCTTCCTCTCAAGTGAATGAAATAATACCTTGCCATTTCTGGCCAAGAGAGATAAGAGCAATATTCTCTATTCCTGTAGCTCCTAAATATGAAATATAAAACACTGGTCTTTTTTCAAAGCTGTTTTTCAAAGAAGGAAGTGGCAAGGTCACCTGCAGGGGTCACTGGTGCAATATCAAATTATGATGGATTAAAAATGTGCAGTCAATGCATGTTAAAGAGAATCACCGGTTTGTCGCTTAAATTTTATTCGTTTATCAAGAACGTTTAGTTAAAGGAAATCTACATGCTCAGGATTTTATTTTGCTACGTAGAAATTATTTATAAAATGTTTAGATTTTAACTCTTAAATGAATTTACTGAAATGGAAAAAAAAATCAAATCTCCTATCCGTGGACATAACGCAACGGGCAGTTATGTGATTCAGGATAGCTGGTCAAATATTTCCTTAACATTTGACTGTAATTTACCCGTTGAAAAATAATTACTTGGCTTCAGTTTAAATTTGCATTAAAACGTTTTGGCAAACCAGGTATATTTTGTCAAGATTTGACTATTTGAAAATTCCTTGCTCGTATGGAAAGCAGATTAGATTGCCTGGTTAGATGGTATTTTTATGTGTATGTCATTGTTACCAGTAAAGCACAGAATTCTATTCGAAAATAGAAGCTACATTATGAAGACTCATGGAACATGATTTATAACTCACTTGTGTGCTGACCTGAGTTATGGTCAATGCCACAAATTGGATATAAATCCTATCCCACAGGTCATGGGTTTACTTCTGTGCTACATTTATTTGTGGTTTGGTTCCAAGGCAGCAGGAAGCATCGCTAGTGCTAATTAGATTGCCGTGAGACTCGTGTTTATAATGTTTATGGTTTGAGCACATTCTTCAAACAGAGTGAATGAACTACAAGTTTTGGAATCTTGTTTAACCAGAGCTATATGGATTAGCAGTTCACCTTATCTATTCTTATCCTTGTGTGAACTGGGTTCTGCTCCAGACACAACTCCTTGAGTTCTTTAGTGATGAGTATTGTTACTAGGTGTTGTTAAATGTTGCTGTGTTATGTGCTGAACATATGATGTCAATCTAATTCTAATTGTTGTATTTGTTGGATATAATTTGGCTATTTATAAGACAGCTAAAGTCTGCATTGAAAGCTCTGTAGGCTGCTTGTTACAGTGTGTGGATTGCTTTACATTATCTTGTTAATACAGTCCCCTGACTTAATTGTTATTTGTTATCCTCCATATACCAGGTACGGTTAGCATATCAATGGGGCTGAGAGTAACTGGAGACATCCATTTTAACGCTTTCAGAAAAATAAGTCCTGCCTCTGCACCCTGTAGAAACACACTGTTATCTGCAGTTCTTAAAGCTGTTAATCTGCCACCTCTCTCATTTCAGCACACAGTGGGTTAGTGAACTTAATACCTTGGTTAGGCGATCCACCTTTATCTTGTTTAGCGCACAGATATGGCTTATGACTGCCCTATTTGCTGTTGCCGAAAATTGTATCTTGCGTTTCATTTGTTTCAGGATATCGTGCTGCTGACATTTTATTTGCCCCCTCCCCTTTCCTCTGCTGAAAAGGAATATCATGTAGTGAATCATAGAACTTTAGCTTTCTCCATAGACAGAGCTAAGCATTTGCCAAACAAAGTATTTGTCAGTCCAAGCAATTGTTTGTTTCCCACGGGAACAAAAGCTTAGGTAAACCTATTACTAAACTGAGATTAGTAAATTGGATCAACTGTATCTTTGTAGTTCCTCCCTGGCAGGGCGTGAACCACCAAGAAAAGTTGGAGCCTATTCTGCTTCTGCCATGACCATTGGGTTTTGCATTTTATCATAGTCACACAATCGTAATTAAAGAATTCAAGTTGTCCTTCACAGCGGAATGCATACTAATACATTTGTTGGCAGTGTTTCTGTGATCATTATTAGGTTTGCACATTTTCATGGGCCAATATGTGTACAGTTTGTATCGACACAATCTACAAGGGCACATTCTGTCAGTTAAACTGCTATGTACATGACTCCCTCCAAACTGTATCCCAACTATCTGGTCTTTCCTTACCTTTTTTATATTATTGTTCATGTAATTATCCAATTTTTATTTCTGTTTTATTAAAGGTCGGTCAAGATTTATACTCCAGGACGCAGAGACCCAGGAACACCAATGACGTCTCGACATACCCCAGCACGATTTGGACTTTGATTACTATTCAACCTCATTTTGTTTTTATTTTTGTACAAAAAGTGTTGTCTAAATAGTCAGGGCTTCAGATTTATATTTGTATATTACAAGTGAAAACATTCTTCTACATTCTTCTAGTGCCTCACCATAGCAGTAATTGTGGTTGTGAAGTAGTGCGTGGGTTTTGCATTTTATCATAGTCACACAATCGTAATTAAAGAATTCAAGTTGTCCATCACAGTGGAATGCATACTGATACATATGTTGGCAGTGTTTCTGTGATCATCAGGTTTGCACGTGTGCCATCAAGTCTATACATTCATCCCATGGGACCAGCAACCTGCGTATCTGTTTGCAGTATGTACGGGTAGCCTGTGGACTCCAATGGATAACTTAAAATGATATTAATTTTATGCTGGAATAGTTTTACTGTTCAAATGTTATACATTTTCATACTGCGTTAACTGCTTGGGTTTCCTGTATATTATAATAAATAAAAAAACTCCTTGAAATTGCTTGTTTTACATTGATATTTGAATTCACTATTTACTGAAAAAAAATCCAAAATGTTAACTTCTGAACTGTTGCTGTCACCTGGAATATGAAGTCTTAAGAGAATTCCAGTGGAACTAACTTTTTATTTAATTCCCCTTACTGTACAGGAGCCCCATCTCCTGTTGATGCAGACAGCAAGGATCAGAGATATTGACAGATTCTGTTACCCGTTTGCCTGACCCTTGAGCGCAAAGGTGCGGAAATTGAGGTCGGCAGTGAATACAGAATAAGCATGAAAAAGAGAGAAATTCCCAGGGGGGAGGGGAAGAAAGGTAGAAAAATAAGTATATTCTATATCCACTGCTTTTCTTAATAAAATAAGCATAAAATAATTGCTGCATGCAAGTGTCTGGTCACACGGGAGATCATCTGACAATATAGGTTGAAACGTCCATTAGATGTGCTGTCCCTTTTATGTCCGTTTTAATTCGTCAAACTTTTCTTGCTTTGCTGTTCAGAGATTGAATTTCTCCTCACTGTGTCAGTGGCAGGAGGCCTCTGTGAACCGAGATCTAAAATCCTCGTGGTGCTGGCTTTGGAGAAGGGAGGCAGTTTTTCGATGTCTGACTTGAATGGGGTGCAGAACCTGATTGCCAATGACCAGTTGTGTATTATGGAGTCTACATATCGTGGGGGAAATTTTTTTCAGAGAAAGTGTCCAAATGTGTGTGATGATAGTTATCTAATATTGGAAGGCATTTTGAAGACCGTAAGTTGAATCTACAGTCACTTGGTAGAATAAATGAGATTACAGTATAAATTTTCTCTCCCTGCACGTTTATTCACGCTTAGTAATAACTCTGAAGTGGGAAAAAGTTTGTCCGTAAACTATATTTAGGTAGAAGATTCCTTCGCATAAATTTCTCTTGCCTTCTATTACTCTGTGTGTACATCTACACACTTACACAAAACATTTCTTGACAATCGTTCCACTAATTTTGCTGAATACTTTTTTAAAAAAACTTGGAAAATATTGCTTTCATGATCTGTCAAATAAGAATTGAGTTCATTCCAGAATTGATGGTTTATTGATTCAAGTGCATTTGAGATGTTCTCCCAACGTGACAGGTGCTATATTGTTTTTTATATAATATATATATTCTAATCTAATGTGTACGTATGTGTTTAAGGCCTATCACAATACTTGGGGCTTGTGTGACAATCCTTACAAACAACCTCCCGACGTGAAAGGCGCTCTATAAATGCAATCTTCTTGTTGTTTATCCATCTTTGTTGTCAATTGGTACACAATGCTTTACTCGGATGCTGACGGTTTTATCCAGTTACATCTTGTGTAACAATAATGGGCTTATTTTATGATAGTATCATGTGCAGTAATATGCAATTTGTTGAATTCCTCAATATTACTCACAGCTGTGGTCAGATCGCCAATATTTCTATTCTATTTGAAGCAAAGATAGATTTTTACATTTATGAGAAAAACCTTTAATTGCTGATGCTTGTGAGCCCTGTGAAGGTGATGCAGTCACTTTCCCTTGGAGCAGAGTATAATGTATATTGCTTACAATCTTTTTTCCATTTGGTATTATTAGAGAATTATACAGCTTTAGAATTGTAAACCCTGGATACGCTCTAGCAAGTCGTAATAGAATATATTACTTTTTTACTTCATCCTTAAGCCAGTAGGCTATCATCTCTCACTACCTGAGTCCACTTTGTAGGACTAGTTGGTAGGAATACTTTTGCTGTTTGTTTGCTTATGAAGCTCAATCCCGACAAGTATCGCTCCAGTTATAAGAGACTCTTGCAGGCTTGAAGTGTGTGGTTCAGTGCTTTCATTGTACCCAGCATTTTTACTGATTTAAGAACATTTTGTGGCACTGTTGATCTATATTTTTAATCAGAATTTTTTTTGTATCTTCCATTGTGACTGGATGCTAACAAATAACACTGCCAGTTCTATGATTTAGACCCTTTCATAATCTTCATCAGACTAAAGAACACAAGATGTTGCCATCTGTGGAATTTTGGCAACTGTAGAAAAGAAATTAAATCCTCTTTTGTACATGTTTATAGAATTAGATTCTTTTATTGTTTTTGTCATTCTTGACATCCTTTCATTAACTGACCTATATTTACTTAAAAGGTTTATTTTAATGCTTTTGAGGAATACATATCTGGACTCGGTTCCAATTTACGTCTTCATTCATTTCCCTTTGATTCCTCTATTAATTAACATACTTATAACTCAAACACACTTATTTACATAATGAATGTAATTCATTGATCTAGGTCATGGTTCAATTGTTTTTTTTTCATGACTGTTTATTCATTGACTTAGTCTTGTGTGCCGAAACAGCTCTAGTTCCCAACAATGTCCATCCTCATTTATAAACAACAACAAATTAACAACCAATTTTGTAACAAAATAAAACATGGCAGCCACCCATCAGATAATCCACCGAGCTAACACTCCCTGATCTGTTGTATCCTCACAAGACTTGTATTGTTTTGAGTTTCTCCTTAATGTAAAAAAGTATATCAAACATTCTTTCAAGCAACACATCCTGCTTGCAACATTCTCCTTTTCGTTTTCAATGAAGTGTAAACCTTAAACCGAAGTTCTACCTATTCTGGTGACATTAAAGGCCCCATGGGATTATTTTGAAGTCGAGTAATCAGTTTTCTTAGTCTGCTGACCCATTATTCCTTCTTCATCCAAATTCACCAAAAATATCCAATTAATCTGTGAAATATTATCGATGTCTGTGGGTCCTTGCTTGTCATCGGGTTTGCCAACGAAAGAGTCACTAGACGGAAGTTAAATGTTTCCAAAGCATTTTAAATAACAATATAGTGTAAATATTATTACACTAAAGTTGCCAAAATGTCAGTTTAATCTGAAAAAAGCTTGGCAAATCCAGATATTATCAAATAGGCAACACAGCCAAGAAATTTAAGGATATACAGAAAAAAAATTGCTAAATTATTATAATATGTAATCGTTATGTGTGTTTTGATGGCAGAGGGAAAAGATTATATCAGAAGAACCTCATTAAATAACATCTACTCCTAAAGTCTGAGGTAGGTGATTGTTATTTTGTCACTTAATGATTCTGTTTTGTTAGAATAGAAATAACAGGAAGATTCACTTGTCTGTTTAATACCCACCACTCACCCCTGGGAGAACTTGTAATATACCCACTAATGTGCATATGGACGGAAGCAGCAACATTTTTTGCTGAAATAGTACAACTGCGACATATGCCTGTAACACTCCCTTTGGGATCCGAAAGTGAAGCACATTGGAGTAAGGGGATCTTTATAGAGCGAATGTTTTGTATACCCTCATTATTAATCAGGAAACTATAAGCAAGCAACTATAAGTTTCGTCTACGCCTGCAGTATATCAAGTAAATTTCTGTATGCTGTGTACTTGGCTCCAGATCCATACCTGCGCACTTGATTGCAGAATGCTGATTTAGGAATAAAATTTCAATGTGAAAAAGCTCTCACGGGTTCGCCCTTCAATCACAAGATTGGTCCGGCACTTCTGATCTCGTCCCTCCAGAACACCCACCCTTCTGTTTCCCCCTCCCCCACCCCCTACATCACTGCATCAAGCTGATTTTTAAATGAGTCTAGTGTCCTGGCCTCCACCTCCTTCCTTGGCCACCCTGTTCTCGTTGATTTATCCTCTGCTTACATCCTGAAGTAATGATCTGGGTTAACTTTGCCAATCCCATTTAAATTTTTACGCACGTCTATGAGGTCCTCTCTGAGTTGTATTCTCTGAAGACTGAAGAGCCCAAGCTTGTCCAGTCATTGCTCATATCATAGCTCATTCTTCTAACACCGGGAATCATCCCCGTTGCTCTCCTCTGGAGCTGAGGTACAGATCAGCCATGATCTAATAGAATGGCGGAACAGGCTCGAGGGGCCGAAAGACCTAATCCTATTCCTATGTTTCTATGTACCGCCTCTAAGGCCTGGGTAGCCCATTGTGTGGCAGTGACCAGAACTGTGCGCAGTATTCAAGGTGCCGGCTGATCAGAGCACAAAACAGCCTGAGAATTATGTCTGGGGATTAAACTCAACTGATGTAACAATATAGCCAGCCTAGCATCCTGTTTATTGTTTATTGCTACCTCACATTGTCTTGACATGGTGAGCAACAAGTCAAATAACGGATGATCTCACTTAAACAACAGTGATCCAAACGTACATTGATCTGTGTCCACATTGTACCTTGCCTCCATCATTTTTTTTAAAAACAAATTTTGTCTCCTGCAGGCATCTGACTTCCATTTTTCCCTTTTACTGGGTTTACAATTCCAAGGGCTCCTGTTCCTTTGCCAAGTGGTCATTATTCACACGTGAGCCTTAGCAGCTAGTGCTGGGAAGCTATTTTGCTGTGGGGGAGGGTGGTGTATCACAGCTTAGCAGTAAACATTTTTATGGCTAAAGATAATTACAGAGGTCAACAAAATCATATCTATTTGAGGCATTTGGGTAAGACTGGTATTGAAATGCATTGCTTAAAATTGTGATGTCAACACCCAAGTAAATAGCTTTGATAATTGATAGAATTTTTGCGCCTGCTAGTTTAATCACTTATCAACAACAGCTATAATGCTATAGATTGTATAGCGACTTGAATTGCACTCTTTCCACTTATTGCCAGTGAAAATTACCCCATTTGCTTATGTGGAATCACCAGTTGATGTTAACACTGTTTAGTTACATTTGTTAGGCTGGCCTGTGTTACCAATAATTAAATTATACAGATAGAGAAATGGAATATTTAATTAGCACTCAATCAGCCAGAAAGGTGATTTGACATTTTCTATAATCATGATAGATGATCCCCTTTCTCCAGGGTGGCATTTCAATCATCAGGAAAAAAAATCGTCTGTTTTGTGCTGAGGGTGTTAAGATGGCCTTTTCTTTCTTCCCGTCTGTAATGTACATTGTATTAATTTGTTTTGTGCTCATT